CCTCTGCCTCCCGAGTGCTGGGATTAAAGGCGTGCCCCACCAACGCCCGCCTAACACTTGGAAATTTTTAATGGCATATTTTCTTTTTTTGTAATTTTTTTATTAGTTCAAATTAGGAACAAGCTTGCTTCACATGTCAATCCCTCCTGCCTCTTCCTCCCCTCCCCCCCAGCCCTTCCCCCCAGCTTCCCACCTGCTCCCCACCGCATCCACCCTCCACACACCAGCTGGGTAGGGCCCTCAACGGGGGCTCCCCAAAGTCCACCACATCATCCTCGGCCAGGCCTAGGCCCTCCCCCATGTGTCCAGGACGAGACAAGGGATGGGCTCTCAAAGTCCCTTCTTATACCAGGGAAAAATACTAATCCACCACCAGGGCCCCCCTAGAGTGCAGAGGCCTCCTCATTGACATCCATGTTCAGGGGTCTGGATCAGCCCGGTGCTGGCCTCCCAGACAGCAGTCTGGGGTCGATGTGCTCTTAACAGGATATTTTCTTAAATATTCAAAACTTGGCAACACAGTTAAGAGAGTTGGTAGAAACTTTGTACAGAATCTAGTTGAGTACTTTCTTTAGGAACCTGTCTTTGGGAGGATTCAGTCAGATCCAGCCCACTTGCCTGGTTCGTATTTGAGAGAGGGAGTGTGGATTGAGAAATGGCAGGGAAAGATACTAAGGAAAAGATAGAGACACAGAATAGTGTCAGAAGGGCAATCCAGTGAATACTGAATGCCCCAAGTTTATTCTTCAATATTCGAGTATACCCAAACCAAAATGGGGGAAAAGGCAAGAGACTTCTTTATCAATATACAAGGAACAAATAGGCTTATTTCCTTAATTTTTCAAACAGTAGACTAAATCTCTCTTTATCTGACCTTGAGAGTTAAGAGTAACCACACCTTAGACCAAGTCTCCTGTTATTTAGATAGGATATCCACCACTAAGACCAAACATCCTACAGTAGCCATACCTTAGACCTTTATGTCTTTTGACTTTAACTTTGGAAGAATTAAGATAGTTTTCAATTCTCTGACCTTAACTCAAGATGAAGCTAAGCCATTTTTATGGACCCTGACAATTTACCACACAGTTGGCACCCAACGCATGTTAGTTTTCCCCTCTCCCTTGGCAACTTGGGTGGTTTCTACTTTGTGACTATTATTAATAGTAATAGTAATGTTAGGAACATTTGGACACTGATTTCTTTCCTCTTTTTTTTTTTTTTAATGTGGCTGTGTTTTCATTTCCCTTGAATATATTTCTAGGATCAGAATTACTCAGTAACTGTAATCATTTGAAGAACCATGAGATTTTTCCAAAGTGCTTTCTTACCTTACACTTCCACCATAGTGGGTTATAAAGTTCCAATTCATGTTCTTAGTACTTTCTTTCTTTCTCTCTTTCTTTTTAAAAAAGATTTATTTATTTATCATGTATACAGTGTGTTCCAGAAGAGGGCACCAGATCACATTACAGATGGTTGTGAGCCACCATGTGGTTGCTGGGAATTGAACTCAGAATCTCTGGAAGAACAGTCAGTGCTCTTAATTCCTGAGCCATCTCTCCTGGTCTGGGTACTACTTTCTTAAGTTTAACCATCCTAGTGACTGTGAAGTGGAAACTGCCTATGGCTTGGTTCATATTTTCCCAGTAGATGTAATGATTGAGAAAAATTTCATATGCTTATTGGTCATTTTTATGTCTTCTTAGGCACAATGCCTATTTAGGTATTTTGCTTACTTTTAAAATTACTATTTTACTATTGAGTCATAACAGCTCTTTGTACAGTTCCTTTTTTTTTTATTTTTCGTGTTTTGGGACATGGTTTCTCTGTGTAGCTTTGGAGCCTGTCCTGTAACTTGTTCTGTAGACCAGGTTGGCCTCAAACTCAGAGATCTGCCTGCTCGGCCTCCTAAGTGATGGGATTAAAGGCTGCACCACTACCACCCAGCTTTGTACAGGTCCTTTACAGCTATGATTTTGAATGTTTTCTCTCATTACACTGCCTCATTACTTTTATTGTCATTTGAAACAAGTTTAGATAAAATCCAGTTATTTTATGCTTATGCCTTTGAAGGGACCAGCTTCCCTTTTGGCAGCCATAACCGCCGAACACGTGCTTCTATGACCTTGTCCCAGACACTAGAAAGTCAGATGCCTGCCTCGTGACAAGGAAACAATCAGAAGTTAGTCACTAGAAAGTCAGATGCCTGTCTCGTGACAAGGAACCAATCGGAAGTTAGCTGGTGGCGCTATGCTTTATGACCCTGGGTATGCTTTACGGACAAGCGCACAGCAATGATGTAGAGAGCATAGCAACCACCCTGGGAGGGCCTATGGGCCATAACAACCAGTTGACCAATCAACACAGGGCAAGCCCTCCAAGCCTGGAGGCACACCAATCGTGAGCCTGTGCGTACCCCTAGACACTCCCCTTACGCTGTCCTATAAGATCTCTTGGGAGACCCTAGGAGCCGTCTTTTCTAGCCATCCACCATGGCGGGTGGGTGAAAGACCCGAGCTAACATGGGGTTAGCTCGTTAAATTACAATAAAGCCTCGTGCAGTTTGCAGCAAGCTCTCGAATCTGCCTGGTGATTGGGGTGACCTCGAACGTGGCCTGGGACTCCGGATACTTGAGTTTTCAGGGGTCTAACACCTTAACGTCCTAAGAAGCCTTTGCCTAATGAAACAAAGGTTTTAGCTTCTTTTTAGAATTTTATTATGTGTATATGGGTACATGCACATGTGTGTAGGTACTTGAGGATGTTAGGTTTTACATCCCCTAGGTCTGGAGTCATGGTTGCTTGTGAGTCACAACACATGGATTCCAGTCCTTTCTGAGAGCATTATTAAGTGCTCTTTCTTACCTGCTGAGCCATCTCACTAGCCTCCAGCCCATTTACTCCTACAGTTTTAGATCTCAAGTCATTGATCCATTTTGCATTTAAAAAATATGGTATGTGGACAATCATGCCTCAAAAGGCCCTAGTCCCAGGATACTTCACTCTTGCGTTATCTACCTCAAGCACAATCATGTTATTCAGTATGCACTTGCCAGTGTAATAACTACCTTTTAGGTCCCTTTGACACAGGCCTCACTGCCCAGCAGACTATGATATCCTACAAGTAGAGGGAAGGAATCCACAGTGATCTTAAGGCCAAGTGTGTCTTATGGAAGTTCCCATGACTCGGAAGAATTGTTCTAACACAAGCCATCAAGAGCTTGCCTTGCTCTTCTTGGTTGACTTGTATTCACTGGAGTCTGTCAGATCTGGCGCATTTGCAGGCAAGATAAGGCCAGCACTACTTAGAAGACCCACCAAGTGTTCAAGTCTTCTCTCCTTGGGACAGAGGCGAATTGTCCTGAGTGGAGGCAGGTTGTCTTCCTGCAGAGTAATGGTTGATAGGATTCCATCTCTAGAGCACCTGCGTCCTTCAACTAATTATAAGTTTTTCATAACTTTCTTTTCTCTTGAAATCCTGAGTTTGCTCCCATTGTACTTCTGACCCAGACCTTTGTAGTATCCATCTAGAATGTCTCTGCAAACCTAATTTCTAGAATCACCTACTCTACATGAAGGGACCAGCTCCACATTTCAGCAGCCATAACAGCCTAGCATGTGCTTGCCTGACCTTGCCTTGGTTACTAGGAGGTCAGATGCCTGCCTCGTATCAAGGAACCAATCAGAAGTTAGCTGGTGGTGCTATGCTTTACGGACAAGTACACAGCAATGACGCACAGAGCATAGCGATCACCCTGGTAGGGCCTATTGTCCATAACCACCAGTTGACCAATCAACATAGGGCAGACCCTCCAAGCCTGGAGGCACACCAATCCTGAGCCTGTGCATACCCCTAGACACTCCCCTTATGCTGCCCTATAAGATCTCTATGCAGTGGCTTCTCGCCATCTTTCCTAGCCATCCGCCCTGGTGGATGGATGAAAGGCCCGAGCTAACATGGGGTTAGCTTGTTAAACAACTACAATAAAGCCTCATGCGGTTTGCATCAAGTTTCCACCTCCGCCTGGTGATTGGGGTCGTCACCGTCCTGGACAGAGATCCTGGGGGGTCTGAGCCTCTGGGGGTCTTTCATACCCACTCTGCTAAAAAAGGGATCATTTGTTTCCTTAGAACAACATATAGAGAGTCTTTTTTTGAGCAGAGGTAGTAATGGACAGGGAAGAAAATCTAGCCTGCATGTTCTCTTGTTACCTTGCATTACAAACATGCAAATATCATTCTTATGTAATATCTTACAACCACTTCTCTATCGTAGACATCTATTGCTCAAGGGTCCACCTATTCTAAATACCAGTTTCTGTACCCTTGTTTGTTATGAGAACAAAAATGGGGCAGACTGAATGAACCAAGAAAGGGGACAACTCTATTCTTACCTCTTTGGTCCACCCATCGCATGGCTATTTGTAATGATCTGGTTAGTGACTCAAGGATATTGCAAGTCTACTTGTATATATTAGTATCTAGAGGATTACAAGAATCACTGTTGCCCCCTGCCCGCAACTGGTAATCCATGCATGTATGCATCAAGCCCTAGATCTGAAATGTTGCTGGTTACCAATAGGTCAGTGGACATTTCACGAACATATCTACTATGAACATTCTTGCTACTAAGTGAACTTAAGAAAGGGGCGGGGGCAGGGATTAAACATCATTCTTAATTTGAACAGCCAAAAGTTCCTGCATTTATTGAGACTTTCTTCCCACTGAATTATCTGTCTAAAGAGCAATTGACCATAAATGTGAGGGCACATTTCTAGACTCTTGATTCTATCCAACTGATTTAACGTTTATCCACACATATACCCTTATATCAGCACAACATATTTCATTTATACAGCTTTGTAGTAGATCATGATATCACAAAGGATGAATTCTCCGATTTTCCCAAGATGTGTTATTTCGTTAAATTTCTATATGAATAATGAAATCTGATTGCCATGTTCTGGGGAGGGGGAAGCAAGCAAACATAAAATTGATGGGATTAGAGTGAAACAGAACAGCTTATTTATTTATGTATTTAGTTATTTCAGAAAGGGTTTCTCTGTTTAGGTTTTCTCTGTGCTTGGCTGTCCTGGAACTCATAGATTCGCTGTCCCTGCTGAAGGAGTGCTGGGATTAGAGGTGTATACCAGCATCACTTGGCAAAAGTGAACAGTTTAAACAGATGGCCATGCTTTCTTCTGACCCATGATTCTGAGATGTCTCTTTTCATGTCTATTTTCTTTCCTTTCATCCACTTCTTTTCACTGTTAACTCGAAGTTTTGCCATCTTTGTTGTGTTCACTTTGTTGTGTTCTTGCTTTTGTAAACGGAATAATTTTAATCTTCATTTGGTGAAATTTCATGTTCATACAGTGTATAGTTAGTACACAAGAGTAAACTAATTGTGGATTTTACAACCTGGATGAACTCATGTTCTTAATTTGAACAGCCAAAAGTTCCTGCATTTATTGAGACTTTCTTCCCATTGAATTGTCTTTATACTGGCTAAAGAGCAACTGACCATTTTTAATAGGTTGGTTTTTTATTTTTATTTTTCCTGGTAACAGGGTTTCTGTGTAGCATTTGGCTACTCTGGAACTAGCTCTGCTTACCAGGCCAGCCCCGAATTCAGTGATGCACCTACCTCTGCCTTCCAAGTGCTGGGATTAAAGCACTTTTTTATGGATCCATTAAGATCTACTTTCAGGCTCCAGTCATTTACAAGAAATTGTACATCTCTTTTAAAGTCCAGCTGCTTCTAGAATTTTTGAGAACAATTTATGTAAGACTTAGTATTTGTAGAGATTAAAGTCAATATAACATACAAACTAATTTTTAAAGCAAAAGGGAACAGTTTTACAGATTAAAAACAAGACAGAAAAATAAACAATATAAGATCCAAATTAGAAAGCAAAGGTGGGACTCACACAGTTACTATTATTAACTATGTGATCTGAATAAGCTTCATGTGATTTTATACATGATTTTAAAAACATTTTCCACTTGCAGTGCCTGACCTGATGTCTATAAGGAATAACTTTTCTTCTCCACACTTTACAAACATACTTTACTCCACATCATTGTCTTCTTCCATTTTCACTTCTCAAACATAACATTACCAAAAGTGGAAGAGCATGCTAATGGTACTTCAACATGAAGAGAAAATATAGCCATTAGGAAAGGCCATGAAGACACTGCAATACAATTACAAAGTGTTACCCTCTTGGGAATAAGCTAGACTGTAACAATGCTTTAGAGGCTTACATAAGAAAAACTAAAAATGATAGTGCATTTACTCTATCAAAGAATACACTAATATGTTAAAGTTAGACAATAATCAGTAAACACATTTCAAGAATGGTAAAATATGTCCTAAAAATACATTATTTGAAGCTGTCATCATATTTTGTAATCAAAATCACCATATTTTGTCATAAAAAAGCAACTTTGTAATCAAAGTTTTAATTTTTTCTTCCTTAGATAACTAAGATTGGCCTAAAACTCTCCATAGACCAGAGGATGATGTTGAACTCCTGTTCTTCTAGACTCCATCCACCTCCTAAGTGCTGTGATCATAGGCATGGCTGCTAACATTTTAAAGGACATTTTGTTTAAAATGGCACATAATCATGTAAATTTCCTACCAAACATAAACCTGACAGCATTGCTTGGCTTCTGCTAATGCTGACAACATTCAAATACATTAAGTATTATAAAATCCACTTCAAGTGTTCTGGAACCTGAGTTTTAACCTCTGGCATAAAGGAAGAGGACTTTCCAAGCAGGCAGCAGAGTCCTCATCTTTCTTATGATATTGGAGAAAACTCTGAGTTCTTTTCGCTGGATCTGAGAATGAGTTTTCTTCATCTTCTGCTGTTGTATAAGACTTTGTGCATGGTTTGGTTTCTTTAGTATCTACTTTCGGATTTCTGGGTTTATCTCTGACCTGGGCTAGGCTATGCTTCTGAGAACTGTGTTTCATTTTTGGAGCAGTATACTTAGTTTTCCAGGACACTGGAGAACTTTCTTCATCGGAAGAATCTCTCTTGAGGCAAACACTCTTCTTCACAAGGTTCTTTGTAGTTTTCTCATCAACTTTTGGATTATAAGGTGCAGCAGTATTTGGGTGCCCAACTTGAAGACTGGAGGTCTCTACTGCTTTGTCATTAAAAGAGTAGGGTATGGAAGTATTCACTGTAGAATTTTCTTGCAGGAATTGGTTGTCTAATACTTTCAAGTTTTTGGACTCTTTGTGCAGATATATTCCTGGAAATTTCTTTGAGAAATTTGATAAGCAACCAGAGCTACAGTCAGTAATACAAGAGCTTTTCACTTTTAGGGGCAAACTTTCCAGGTTAGTGTCTGTTTGCACATTATACTGAGGGCATGAGGACTTTAGATGTATTCGTTCTTTTAGAGGCAAATCTTGAAGATATAAACCAGTGATGCCAGAAAGAAGATGTTCTTCAGGACTAATCTTTTGAAGATCTCTACCCAGCACTTCATTGTTTGTGGTGCATTGTTCTGGGGTATTTTCAAAGCCAGGAAGGATGGATGATGACTCAAGTTCTGATTGTAAAACTTGGGACAAAGAGTTTCTTTGAACAGCTGGAGAATTACTAAAAGAAGTACCTTCCCAGTCAATGGTACTCAACTCTAGATTAGCAATCTCAGAAATATTGTGGGATGAAGATCTGGGCTGACTGCATTCTGCAACTAGAAAACTACTGACATCTTTAGTTTGCTTTCCAGTCAAATGTCTTGGAGAAGGCAGTAAATGTTCTTGCAAATTCAAACAGGGAGCACTTTCAGGGAAAACTAAACTACTCAGTGAGGGAAAAGTAGATTCCTGTGGTAAAACAGGATCTGGTTTTAAAGTCATAAGTGACTGAGAACTGACTACATTATCCAATTCTAGTAAACTGTTTCCTTTAGGCTTAACTTTCTTACCTGAAAAGAAAGAAAAACATATAATAAGTACTCCTTTGCTTAACTTGGGAAAAACAAACACACAAAAAAAACCTCAAGCAAAAATAAAAACGAAACAAATAGTTAAACCAGTAATTTCTGTAAGGTTTTTTTTTTTTTTTTGAGCCCAAACTCCACCCACTACCCAGGACATTCCTGGAAACACTATTAGTTTTCTTTGGGAAATGTCAATAATGAGTTACTTTCCTCACTGAATTCTGAGGAATAAAGGAAAAATGCACTTATAACACAGGCTATCTTTGCAGTAGCTGCTCTAAAGCTGGCTAGTGTTAGCATTACAGCATTACACACTACTCTGTACTGTACTTAACATACTCAAGTTAGTAAACAGAGCATAATGGTGGATTCCCAGCATTCCAGTTTTAAAGGAAGTGTGTGGGGCTTGGTACAAAATACAGTGGGAGCACACCTAGGGAGGATTTGGGAGGTCCTAGGGTGTGGTTGCTAGCACTGCAGCATTGGGAGATAAAGCTTATGGAGACACAGAAGCAACAGCACTGCTCTTACTCTTGGTTTACACAATGCTGGTGCCTAGCACAGCCAGCACAACACTTACTCTTCTGTTTCTTCCCTTGAGTTTCTGACTGTTGTTTCTGGTAGATAGCAACGACCTCAGGATAGGCTGCTTCAAATAGTGATGCTTCTTCAACAGTAAGGAGATCCAGTTCTCCAGCCTCTGTGTCTTCCATAGCATAATGTTCTAGAAGATTAAAAATCACAGAAAAAGCAGACAACTAAAGGTTTAAAAACTCAGTTTTTCAAGTAATTACCAGGAAAACCACACTGTCCAAAAATGGGCAGAAAACTCACCACAAGTCTTGATCTACAATGTTGTCATTTCTCTATTATTTATTTCTGATAATCACACACAAGCATAGAATACATCCTGATCACTTACTATTACCACCTTATCACTCTTGCTAGCCGGTTCTTTTCTCCCTCTTACCCTCATGTATTTTGTTGTTGTGGTCTTAAAACTGACTATTTTCTCTTGTTTCAGAAATAGTAGCATCAGTCTAGAGAACAGAAAACTTTAGATAAAATGTTAAAATTAGAGATAAGGAAGGAAAGAAACCATTTCACAAGACAAAGGGCTTCCTGTATACCAGGCAAGCTCTATCTCCATATTCTTAGCCCTGGTTATCAATTTCTTTTTCTTTTTGGGAGTTTTTCGAGACAGGGTTTCTCTGTGGCTTTGGAGACTGTCCTGGCACTAACTAGCTCTTGTAGACAAGGCTGGTCTCAAATTTACAGAGATCCACCTACCTCTGTCTCCTGAGTGCTGGGATTAAAGTTGTGTGCCACCACCGCCCGGCTAGTTATCAATTTCTTAAGACACTCCCAGCATCAGAGGATGCACAAACAGATGAAATGAGAGTGTTTATATGGAAGTCACAATAAAATATATACAGAAAATTTGCATATGAGAGAACATGTGCTCTTTGTCTTTCTAAGCCTGGGTTGCATTTTCCTGCAAATTTCACTTTATTTTTCTTAAGGCTGAGTAAAATGCTATAGAGTATATGTACTAAATGTTTCATTATCTGTTTACTTACTTATAGACATTTAGTCTTTTCCCACATTCTCACCAGCATTTGTTGTTATTTGTTTGCTTGATGGTAAGCCTTCTGACTGGGATTACAAGGATTCTTTAAGTGGTCTTAATATGTAATGTAAAGGGGCCTATGGCAGAGGGGGAAAGGCTTTAAGCAAGTGGGGTTGGAAGAACAATTGAACATGTGATATGAAAGCAAAAGGTAATACTGGAGGGGAAGGGTATAAATGGGGAGTTGGAGAATATCCCTGTATGTGTGTCTGTGTGAACCAGAAAACAAAGTATGTATGAAAATGTCATAGGGAAACATTAATTTATGTTAGTTAAAAGAAAAAAAAAAGACATATAAGGAGGAAATGGGGTATTGCTTTGATAGATCTGACCATATTGTTGTGGTGATGACTGTGGAAGGGCTTTGGAACTCTGGACTAAGCTCTGTGGGCTGTTCTATGAGAGCTTGGAAGATAAGACTGTTGAGATTGCCGCAGAGGATGGAAGCCTGGTTTCTCCTTAAGTTTCAAAGGGATATCTGAGAGTTCCTTAAAGATTCTCTGGGGGCCATGTGCTATTTTGAATCAAGAATCCGTGGTTCTGACGAGCTGGGGCCAAAGAAACAGCTGTGATTAACAAGAGACCAGTACCCCTGAAGTGAAACCTTTGCATTACTGGGACAATTCATGTTGGTTAGGAGGGGATGAGAAATTAGTGGTGAAATTAGTGGTGAAAAAGAAGAGTGAATCATTGAAATGTTTCCTTAGGGTTAATACACACACATATATACACACACACATACACAGACACATGTGCGCCACGCGCTGAGTCCCCAGGTAGTTTTGAAATCATGAAGGGGTCATGGAGAGATGCTGAGGCGTGGCACTTTGAGAAGTCAGAAGAAGCCATAGGTGTAGCCTCAGTAGCAGCTGAAGGCCCAGGACTGAAGTGAATCATTCGGAGAAGTTGAGACTTGATACCATGAAGGGAGTCCAGGAAAGGCTATTGGTGCAGCCCAGTGGTAGCAGGAAACCACAGAACTATGGAGATGATTGCCAAGGACAGCAGCAGCTGTGATGTGTGGCCAGCTAGAGCCTAGGAGACAAGCTGTGTGTGTTGTGTGCTGTGGTGAACACTTTGGAGAAGCCCAAAAGATTGTGAGTGGATCCCACAGTGAGTTACTAAGCTCTGCACTGCTGGACTTTGGTTTTGCTTTGCTCTAACCATAACTGTCCCTGAATCTTCCCTGACAGAATAAGGAAGTATTTAACTTACTTTGATTTACAGGAGCCCACAGTTGACATTTCAGACTTTTAAAGAGCTTCTGTAGTTTCCCAGAGACTTGGAGTTTTAAAAGAAAAGTTGGATTTATTTTTAAAGAGAGGGAACTTTTAAAGTACTTGAAATGGTAAAGATTGGATTTTTAAGCTTGGAATGCATGTTATAGTTTGATATTTAAATGATAGGAGAAAACTGAATCCTGCAAATTGTCCTCTGACCTCCACATGTGCACCATAGCATAGGCATCTATGTGTGGACCCACACCCCCACACAGGTCCCTACACACAAAATGCAATAAAAGCCCACAAATCTTGAGTCACATCCATTTTAAATCACCCATTTTTCTGGCCTCTAGTCTGGAAGCTTATTCAGAGTTTACACTATTTTTATGTTATAGCAAAAGTACAAATTTACATGGAAACTAGATAGAATAAAGGAAAGGGAAGAAAAATTCTTTAGTTACTATTCACTCACCTCAACTGCTTTAGAAACAGCTAAACATGAGACCTCAAAGATAGAGCACTTGGGAAGCAATTTTTTTAAAGAAATGATTCACAACTATTTTGGCATTATTTCCAAACATTAAATAAATGTCAAAGATGTTAAAAATAAAAGCACTTGAAGTTTATAACCTTTATTAGTCATATCTACTTAAAATACAACAGGTAAAATAAAAATAAAATTCATAGTGCATGTGATTGTTTTCGTGACTTCCACAAGCATGTAAGCTTTCTAAATATTCACTATCTATTTCACAATTGGATCAAATGCTGTAAATTAAACATTCTGTGTATAATGAATGAATGAATACATACCAGGCTTTTCCCATTCTATTTCAAGACAACGAACTCTATTTCTGATTCGTGGCCTAACAATTCTGAAAGATAAATTCATATACTGAAGTCTAACTGTACATGCTATTTACAAAATTTTAATTTATGCACTTCAATTTCTATTAACATTTATTCTAAGTAAAGATATAAGGAATTACTACCCAGATATTCTTTGGACTTAGTTAAATAATTTCATTGTGAGACAGTTGAAAATTGTTTGATTTACTCAATACACACACACACATATATTTTCATTATATTTACTAATTTTATTTTATTTTATTTGTGAGTATTTTATCTGCATGAATGTAAGTGCAGTAGCTGCATGCCTGGTGCCCACAGAGGTCAGAAGAGGGATTAAGATGCCCTGGAACTGGACTGTCAGATGGCTATGAACCACCATGTGAATTCTGGGAACTGAATTCAGGTCCTTAGCAAGAGTAACAAGTGCTCCTTAACCTCTAAGCCATCTCTCCAGCCCCTCCATATTTTTTCATTATACTGGTTTTTCCATGATTTCTCTTGTAAAGTCTACTTTGTTACACTACTTTGTTATTTGTCTATTAAATCTTTGTTTTTGAACTCTGTATACTTACTTTGTATTTTCTTATGAAATTTTTATCTTTAGTTATTCAATGCAATATGCACTTTAATAGATGAGTTTAACCCACTTACATTCATTCTGACTAGTGAGAGTTGGACTCATTCATAAATTTTATGTTTTCTGTTGGCAATTTTTTCTACTCACTTCCTCCTTCCTATATACTCTTGGTTTGATAGTTTTATTTCTTATTTGAACTGTAATTGTTTGAATGTCAGATATTGTGTTTCTAGTAGAATAAAACATATCGATACACCACAGATATAAAAAATACTCTCAAAACACTGTATTTAAAGATTTAAGACTAACACTTGGAATACAATAGAGCTTTAGTTTATCATTTATTAGTCATTAAAATTATGTGAATATAATTATGCAGGTGAGTAATTTCACCCAGTTCATTAAATTGTTGACCAGTGTTCCTGTCCATATCTTCCTCTTGCTTCACTTTGTCTTTTTTGTTTTTTTGAGACAGGGTTTCTCTGTGTAGTTTTGGAGCCTATCCTGGCACTCGCTCTGAAGACCAGGCTGGCCTCAAACTCACAGAGATCCGCCTGCCTCTGCCTCTTGAATGCTGGGATTAAAGGCATGCACCACCATCACCCGGCTTCACTTTGTCTTTTGATGTACACTTTTTATAGTTCTCTGTGGGTATGTGTGTTTGCTTGTTTTGAGACAAGGTCTCATTATGCAGCCCTGGTAATCCTTAACTAACAGAGATCTGCTTGCTTTTGCCTTCAGTGCTGGCATCAAAGGGGTATGCTCTGTGCTTGAGGTTAGTAGTATTGCTTTTAATGGTTCTTTTTATATATATCTGTTCATTTTTTACTTTTTAAGTAGCATGCATGAGAAGTATGTCAATACCTGATTTTACTATGTTATCATGTGTGTGAGGCCTGAATATACTTTTATTTCCAGGCTTTCCTCTATCTTTGGAAAACAGCTATTATATAAAAGGGAGAAATACTAACCCTTCTGGTCAGCAAATTTTCAAATAGAAACAGTTTTCATCACAAACTTATTTTTTCTAATAGTTTAAAAATAATTTTTTAGATTTATTTAATTTACACGTATGAATGCTTTGCCCGCATGTATGTTTGTGTACCATAATGATGCACTGTGCCTACAGAAGTCAGAAGAGGACATCAGATCCCCTGGAACTTAAGTTATAGATAGTTGTGAGCTGCCAGATGGGTGTTGGGAAGTGAACCCAGGTCCCCTGGCAGAGCACCAATTGCTCTTAACTGCTGAGCCATCTCTCTAGCCCCAACCATGCAATTCCTTAAACTACATTACCTAATTGGCTGTAGTTGACCAGAGTTCTTTCTCCCAAGTTTTCTTTCTGTCATGTCATAGCGAGTCAAAAGCACCAACAACTTCTCACATGCATAGTGACTAGGCCACTCCATTTTTTGAACAGTAAACCTCTATAAACACAGTAAAAATAAATATTAAAACTTTTTAGACAAGAAATACTCTCAGACAACATTTTCTTTTAAGGGTAATACTAAAGTAATATTAATGAGACTATTCCCTGAAACAACAATGAGCTCCCTAAGGATAAAGTGTCAAAGGACAATGTGGTTGAGGGGTTCTCTACTCAGAATGCCAGCTTACGTACCAGATGGTGGGCTAAAAGCCTTGACCTCTCTTAAGCCATTTTTTTCCATCTTTAAATGAGAATGTAACCCTGTTGACAGGTTATGTAGATTAAGTGGGAAGACATTTAATACATTACATATAATAGTTGTCAACAAGGTAGAGAGCAACTAGATTTACTCAGCCATCCTTTCACCCTAACTACAACATCAGGGGTTAAAATAATCTCATTTAACCCTCATGGTGACTTGATAAGGTGGTAATATTATTTCTATTTTATGGCTATTCCATATTCAGGATCATATAGTATATTTGACCATGCACCCCTTTTCCTGAGCCCTTCTTCCTCAGACATATTCTTGGATTCATTGTGTCTACACATGGTGACTGAGAATCTTCTGAGAAGCAGCCTGTGTTTGCCTTATGGTCTGGGAAGTACGGATCTTGCATAGTTGAGGGGTAAAAGTTATAAATGAATGCTGAAGAATATGGGGATAGTCAATAGTTATCTGTCTGAGTTTTGTAGTCTCCTCTCATACACTAAAGCTAATATCCTTCCGATCTTCCTCATATTGAATTGTACATAGTAAGTAAGAATTAACTTTCAGATACCTGAAACAATAATAAATCAGGTCTTTGGTACCTGATAGGTTTCAACATTTTATCCTTATTCAAAAGGAATTCTTGAATGACCTAAGTATAAAAAACCAAAAACAGGATTTAGGACTCTAAAACTTTTAACAATTAAAATATATATATACATATAATTGGATTATTATTACCTCATGGAATGGAAATCCCTTGCAACTGCAAGCTTTCCTAGAGATAAATTATAATTACCAATACAATCAGATATTAGACAGACTGAAATCTCATTCAATCTCATTTTATAACAAATATCCACATACAGTATCTTTCTCTGAAAAACTACTAAACTGCTACTTTCTCAGATGGATTTTTTTTTTTTTTTTTTTTTTTTTTTTTTTTTTGGTTTTTCGAGAAAGGGTTTTTCTGTGGCTTTGGAGGCTGTCCTGGAACTAGCTTTTGTAGCCCAAGCTGTTCTCGAACTCACAGAGATCGGCCTGCCTCTGCCTCCGGAGTGCTGGGATTAAAGGCGTGCGCCACCAACGCCCGGCTCTCGATGGAATTTTATTTTTACTTTTTCTGTAATATTCATTTATGTATGTGTGAATTTGTGTGGGCACACATGCCAGAGGATAGCTTGCGGAAGCAGGTTCTCCCCTCCCTCCTATGTGTGTTCTGATGACTAAACGCAGGTCATTAGGCTTGGTCTCAAGCACCTTTGCCTGCTAAACTTCTTAAACTTCTGGGCGGTGGTGGCACACGCCTTTAATCCCAGCAGAGGCAGATGGATCTCTGTGAGTTCGAGACAAGCCTGGTCTACAAGAGCTAGTTCCAGGACAGACTCCAAAGCCACAGAGAAACCCTGTCTCAATGCCCGCCCCCCTCCCCCAAAAGCTTCTTAGATGGATGATTTTTTCACTATGTAACTCTTGCTGGCCTGACGCTTGCTATGGAGACCAGGCAGTTTTTCTGCCTCCCAAGTGTGTGCCACTGTGACTGGCTGAGATGGATGAGGTTTGTTTTTGCAGAATCAACAACACAGTGGTGAGGCATGATTAATCTAGACACATGGGGGAAGTTTAGCATTGGGGAAGTAAATCAACCTCAGTTATCCACACAGGTCATAAAAAACATTTAGTGGCTAAAAACAACTTACTTTTTAATATTGTTTTCTATTTCATTTAGTTGCCTATTATGTTTTGTCTGGTGCCATTCACAAGGACAGAGGTATTCATAATCATGTGGTTCACAGTATCTGTCACTTTTACAAAATGTGCATCCATTACGTTCATGATCCTTAGGCGAACCTTTTTGGAGACACAAATATGTGTGATTTTTACTGCTGTGAAGAATTAGGTTCAACATGCACCTTTTTCTCATTATCTCAAATTTCAAAATTAATATTGTCTCACATGGTTGGTTTCAATATATTTAGGTTGAAAGAATAGTGTACACCAGAGTGGTTCCTAGACAAATTACAACTCACTGACACTGCTCACAATGTACTCATTTATTGGAAGTATTAATTAATTTATAGCCAATAATGGAAAACTTTGTGGTTTATGTAGTAGCTACAAGGTAGATGAGTAGAATGTAATTACTAATAAGAAAGATTATTTCCTTAACATAATAATCCAAGAAATGGTTTCTTACTGAGTATTTCAAAAGACTACCTACCTACTTCCGTGTCCTTTGCTAGTGTGTATGTCTCAGCTGTTTTAAACTATGCTTGGAAAAGGAAGAATATCACTACAGTACAGGTGTGGGTGGGGCCCTCATTTCCTTTGAAAGGAATCACACTCAGGGATACCTTTTTGTTGTGTTTTTGTTGTTTTGTTTTTGAGTCAGGGTTTCATGTAGCCCAGAGTGGCCTCAAACTCCTTATATAATTGAAGATGGACTTGAACTCTTGATCCTACTGTCTCTACCTCCAAAGTACTGAATTACAAGTGTGTATCACACTCAACTCATGTTCAATATTATCTTTTCAACTAAGACGAGTAAAGAGCCAACCTATTTTCAACAACAATGAACTTGTATTGGAAACTAGTATTAAGTCCTTATCTATAGAGCCAGTAAAAATGTACTATAGAATTAAATACATTTAATTAAGAATATAAACATAAAACATTGATAAAAATAAATGGTTTTAGTTTCATTTTCCCTTAATACTTATTTCATCATAAAAATAGATTCATATATCAAAACATAATTCTAAAATCTAAATAATTTGGTAACAGTGTAAAATTCCACTCATTCTATATTTACCACTGCTACCACATTATCTCATTTATTAAACATTTATTGCATGCTCACCATGTCTTCTGACTTTAAGACATTTCCAAGCAGTGTCTTGATAAAGGGGTAAGAAAGTATGAGGAGCACTCAGACTCCAGTACTCTGAGGAGTTTCCTATGCCTGCTTACCTGGATGGGAACACACAGAGCAGTGAGCCACATTTTTAGCTGCTGGTTGTGGAATAGAGGAGCAAGGTTCTTCAATCCACTGGTTAAACCTTTATTAGAAAATGGTTTTTAAAAAAGCAGAAAAAATTGAGGTAATAATACATTCTCGCTGGGCGTTGGTGGCGCACACCTTTAATCCCGGCACTCAGGAGGCAGAGGCAGGAGGATCTCTGTGAGTTCGAGGCCAGCCTGGTCTCCAGAGCAAGTGCCAGGATAGGCTCCAAAGCTACACAGAGAAACCCTGTCTCGAAAACCAAAAAAAAAAAAAAAAAAAAAAAAAAACCTCAAATATCAGGTTATCCTATTCCCTTTAATCTGTCAAATTATTTTTTCTTTGCTGGTTACAAACCCACTTGCCTGGAAAAATAAATGTTGTTTTCTATAAGCTTTACATGTGGTCCCAGGTAGAGAAGAATTGCAAAGGGGGGCAGAGTGTGCATATGTGTATGTCTGTACAGATGTATATCTAATCACAGTCATTCAGCCTTTTTTTCTTTTCGATGAGTTTGTTAGGTAACAAAAAATGGGGAGAATAATTTGTATTTGTCTTTTCCCATCTTTTTAATTGCGTGCCAGAGCACAAAATAAGCAGAATTATTTGCTCGATCATATTTTTTAATCAGAAATAAGGGTAAAGAGTAATGTGTAGATCCAAATAAGACATTAAGTTTTTTGATAAAACTTTAAAAACTGGACAATTTAAAATGTTAATTACTTTCCTTTTTCTTAATCTGTTGTATACAAATGGCAAAACAGTTATTGTATAATGCAAGGTTTTAAGAAACATGTATGTAACTGCTAAGATTTTGAGTAATAAAATTTGTTTTTGCTCAAAGTTTCATGTTAACATAATACTATCAAGGATACCTAGATGCCAGTCATAGGACATTGATTTCACAGGGTGATGCGTAGTACTGAGGTAATTAACTAACTGCTGGAAATCTTGACTCATTTACTGTCAAGAATAACTGTAAGCATACTAAAAATCTGTATTAATAGCTTCTGGATAAATGACAGAGCTTCGAAGATTAAGAAATAGGGAAAATAATATAAATTATTAAAATTAAAAGAATGGATAATTATAAAAAGTCTGATCATTTCCAAGTGTAAAGACCCTCTTTAAATGTTGCCAAAAAGTACATATTTGCTGACACTATCTTAGTAAGAGTAGCTCAGAGTTAGATTAGTACCATATTTACTTGTGTTGAATTCTTTTTTTTTTTAAGATTTTATTTATTGATTATGTATACAGTGTTCTACCTGCATGTCTGCCTGCACAACAGAAGAGGGCGCCGGATCTCATTACAGATGGTTGTGAGCCACCATGTGGTTGCTGGGAATTGAACTTAGGACCTCCGGAAGAGCAGTCAGTGCTCTTAACCCCTGAGCCATCTTTCCAGCCCCTTGTGTTGAATTCTTTATTTTACTGTAAAGACATTTCTGAGATAGTTCCTTTATTCATTCCCATGACAAAATCCAATTTCTTCCCTGTTTTGGAACAATAGCCACAGAGGTTAATCAGGAACTTACTGAAGACTTTGGTCGACCAACAGCTTTACAGCTAAAAGAGAAGCACTATAAGAAAGGGTACAGTGATTTGAAAGATTTTTCAGTCATTTCTTTACTTCTGACACCTTAGAGTTTCTTTTGAGAAATATACTACCTCAGACCTACTGAGGATTGGTCAAGACTATGTTCAGCCTCCCAGGTCTCTTTTCTTTCTTATTTTATAGCTTGTCATTCATCTCAATTTTTATAAACCATCACTTTCATCTAGTACATATGATTCACAAACTTTTAAGAGAATAAATAGTTTATAAATTTCAATATAATCTATATCTTATTTGGATCCTCAACTTGTACAGTTCAAATTAGAATTAACACATTACTAAATGTATAGCAGCAAGACAAAGAACAAAGTCAAAGTTTTTGATATTAAGTTTTACTATTGCAGTATTGTGTGTATGCATGCCTATACAGTGTGTGTGCTCTGGTGTACACATGCATGCTGCAAGGCATATATTATGCTGTAATGTACATAATGCAAGTGAGATGACAACTTGTAGGTGCCAGTTCTCTCCTTCCATCATGGATTCTAGCAATCAAATGAACTCAGGTGGTCATGCTTGTGCTGGGTGTCCTACAACGTGCTGAATCACATTGCTGGTCAAAACTAAATGTTCTTTATCCAATGTTACCTATTAAGTATTTTCAACATGTTATATAATGCTTCATTTATAGAAACTAAATATAATATCAAAGCATCAAATACAAAATTATTTTAATGTTATGGTCATCTTTACTTGATGCTAATGGTCTAAGATAGCCTGTGGAAAAAACGCCCATGGCTACAGGTTACTATATTTGTACTAAGTGTAGTGAAGCAAAAATACATACTTAATAGCATGCTTCAAACATATATTCACTCCTCCCTTTGGAAGATTTCAAGATAAGTAAGAATTAATCACTGAAAATGAAACACACAGACTAGTTCAAAAGTAATAGTTTCTGTAAACTCACTACTGAGTACAACAAGAAAAAGTGTCCAGTGTGGAGTAAAAAGCAACACTGAGTTACCTCTGAAGCAAACTTTGACCTTTCAAAATCCGCAGCAGTTTTAATGCTTGTTCTTTTCCAACTCCAGGCACTCCCTTTTATAAAGTGGAAAAACAAACTTAAATGTTAATCTGGAATGATGGGGACACATTTAAAGAGGTTTAATAGTGACTATCTGCATTTTTTGCATAGGGTATTTAAGAAAAGGTTGTCCTCCTAATTCTCATCCTCTATGAAGAAAATCTAATACAGTGCTGGGAGGTATGAGTGGCTTACCTCTGTAATGACACTGCTTAGCAGCAGTGAGGACAGCAAACAGGTAAAGCCATACTAGAAACTAGCACTGCTATAAAACAAGAGGACTCCTTAAACTTCTCTGATAGGTTGGTCAAGCACACATGTCAATCTCTTTTGAGGCTGAAGCTGTGGGTCCATTTACTGAACTTCCCTTTGTAGTGTTTACTGTCATAAGGTAGCTTTTTAGCATTATGTGAGATGTTAGTTGTTTTTGGATTTATTTACTTATTATTTTGTGTGTGTGCCCATGATATGTGTGAGCATATGTGCCATGGCACTTGTGGAAGGTCAGAGGACAATTTTGTGGACTTGTTTTTTTTTCCTTTCACTTTTATGTATATCTCAGGCATGGAACTCAGGCTGTCACACTTGCAAAGTAGTATTTTCACCTGTGAATCATATTATCAGTCCTTCTGATTATTTTTGTTAGTGAATATCTTATACTTAAATGAACTCATAATTATATAACCATACTATGTATACACACACACACACACCATGTAAAGTACTAAAGATATTGAGAAAGAAGTGATGAGCTTAGCTTGCCTTTGGAAGATAATCACAGCCAAGAAGTACTGCCAGACCAACCAGGGCATCCCGATCCAAGCCTAGCTTACTCTTGATAGATGATGCCGTGTAACAGTCAACATGTGGATCCTAAAGAGAGAAGAGGTTTCATCTTCAGTGTTTTATGTTCTTTATAGAAAGAATAAGCTGTCATTTAAAGTCTTTTTCTAAAATTTTAAGCAAGAAAATGACCCTGATCACAACAACATCTATAGAATGTGATGTTTCAGAAAATGAATCAAGTGTAACTAAAAGTTCCTCCTTACTGGCTGTCTTTCAAAGTACCAGAAAGTGCACATCAATTTAACTCAGCTGTGAACCCTGTGAGCTACAATAGTGACCATGGGTTCAGTAGTGGAATAGATGTATGAGTGTAACTGCTTTATGATTGGATTTAAGAACCACTCTACAAGAGGCAACACATGCTTGGTACTGTATTTTGGACCAAGAACCCATGGCTGGGGAGCTCATAGGCCCCAGGGGTGAACCTACTACTACTATTTTGCTTAATGGATATAGTATCAAACTGTCCTCTAAATTTGCATCTATATACCTATAGATTATTTCAGTTGTCAAACTCATTAGAGAAGCAGTGGGCTTTATGTGCAGGGAATAAGAATATGTACAGTGTTCAGATATGCATATCATACTTCCTTCTCCAAGGCTCAGGGATATGGTGGAAGAGTGGGCAGAAAGATTGTAAAGCTAGAGTGAAAGAATGACTTCTGGGCATGAGAGAACTACTCATCATGAGATCCATGAACTCAGAGCAGCTGTGTGTGCCTGCCAAAGATCAAGGCAGCAACATCTCAGCACTGAGCAGGAAGGGGTTTAGGAACCCTCACCCCTAGCTGAGGAACTATTGACAGTTGTTGGCTTTTGTGGGTAGGAGTCAATTTTCTTTAAGGGTGTTAACTCTAGCAGGTTGTCCACGCTGGCCTCATACCCAATAGTATATGGGCATTACAAACTGGAACCATAGACTATAAAAAATATATAATAAAAAATAAAGAACATGAATTTGGGAGGGTGTGCTGGTTTTTTGTTGTTGTTTTGTTTTTGTTTTTTGTCAATGACACAAGCTAGAGTCATCTTGAAAGAGGGAATCTCAATTGAGAAAATATTTCCATAAGACTGGCATATAGACAAGTCACTGGGGGCACTTTCTTGATTAATGATTGATGTTGGAGGGCCCAGTCCAATGTGGGCAGTGCCATCCCTGGTTAAGTTTTTCTGGGTTGTATAAAAAAGCAAGCTGAGCAAGCCTTGGACAGCAAGCAGGGAAATAGCACTCTTCCACGACCTCTGCATCAGTTCTTGCCTCCAGATTCCCATATTGACGTCCTTCAATGATAACAATGACCTGGAAGTATAAGTTAAATAAACCCTTTCCTCCCCAAGTTGCTTTTGCTTGTGGAGCTTATCATAGCAAAAGAAAGCAAACTAGGACAGAGAAAGTGGGGGTGGGAATTAGATCTGGGAGGAATGAGTAGTAAATATCATCAAAATACATTGACTTCATGTATAAAATTCTCTAATTACTAAAAATATTACATTTAAATAAGAAAAATCCTTCGTAGTGGGCAATTTCTTTTTCTATTGCTTTTGGTATCTAAAAAGTACAATGTATGGTATATAATGTAGAAAATAAACATTCGCTATAATTGTATTACCTAAAGCTAATTCCTATTAACTTGGTACACATTCCCCTGCCCCTCCCAAAAACCTTTCTCTGACATTCATTATTAATATTTACTATTAGCTCTTTTTGTTTGTTTTTGTTTTTTGAGACAGGGTTTCTCGGTGTAACAGCCCTGGCTGTCCTGGAACTTGCTCTTTAGACCAGACTGGCCTTGAACTCACAGAGATCCACCACAGAGTCCTGGCCTCTGCCGGGATTAAAAGCATATGCCATCAGTACCTTGTTATTAACGCTCCTGCCCTGTATCCACCATGCAGGGATTAAAAGACATGCACCATCTGTTCTAAGACATACCAATACATGACTGCTTAGTATTGGATCACACTGACTCTGATAGCACTTCTTGTGGGGACCTACTAGTGTTTTGAGAGATGGCATGACGCTTAGCCTTGCTGGCCCTAATACACCAAATGCTGAGGTGGAAACCGCCTAATCTCTTTTCCCCTGAATTACTGCAATAAAAATGCTAATTGGCAAGAATCCCTAGCTAGGAATCATAACTGGGAAACATTTCAACATTCCTACCAACAAGCATTTGATTTGCTAATTTTTTATAGTTATTAATACTGCAACAAAAAATTTCCTGCCTTTCCTTGTACACAGGAGGTGTTTTGAGGATTAAATACTGAAACTAAGTTCTGCGACAAAGCAATGCATTTCACACATAATTCCGTGTTATATTAGTAAGAAATACACACTTTGAAGAGAATAAGCTACTTGGCAATGCTTTAATTAAAAATAATCAATTAATTAATCACCATGGTGTATGAGTGGAATGTAAAGAACAGCTAAGTCAGTTCTTTTCTTCTACCATGTGGGCTCTGGGATTCAAACTCCGGTTAAGTGCTTTTATTCATTGAGCCATCTTGCTGGGCCACAATGCCTTTAAGAATTGCTTTTTAATAATCAGTTTCATTACCTCCATCACCTCAGAATCCTTATTTACAAGGTTGGAGGGATGGCTTTGTGGTTCCTCACAATATTCTTGAAAAGCATCCATGTCAGATGGCTCAGTTGCCTGCACTCGTAAATGTACACTTCCCACCTCATACATACAAACCGTTAAAAAACTTAAATCTAAACACATGTGCACACGAGTGCACATATGGCAAAAACTTTGAAAATGTTTTCTAGCTTATTTAAATGTATAGCAATGATATTTTTAATCAATAAACATTTATATTTAGCAATAACCATTTACCAGGCATCATAGAAGCATTTTACACATATTATCTCAGTCTTGTTCTTTAAAAATGTAACATATAAACAAATACCAAGAGAGAAAGAAAAGAAATACCTTTGTGTTCATAGTGAAATTCCTATAGACCATCTGGGCTCCATAAAGGAAGGCATCACCATCATTGGTGAGGCAGCCATCCACATGGCCACTGGCATTAAGGTAAGCACACATGGCTTCGGCTTCCCCAGCAGCCTGGACCCAGGGGATGCCTAGGCACTCTAGCATCTCAAGGCACTGAAACAAGAGTAGGTGCAAGACATTCAGTTTTTCGGTTTTAAATTACTTCTACATTAAAAGTATTAGTAGTTGTCTTGGGGTATTTAAAAAAAATATGGTATTCAAGAGACACTTGGAAATTTGGACACTGAGTAATCTGATGGCATTAAGAAAAGATTGCTAACCTTCTAGGTAAGATAATTAAAATAACAATTTGGTTATGCTTATGTAATTTTTAAAGTGTTGTCTTACAGAAAGCAACACTGAAATACTGAGAATTCTACAATATTGTGGTTGGGATTTACAAAGTATGTTCTAAGAGGGAGTGAAAACAGTCTGTCCTACAGGGAAACTCAACAAGCTCCGATCAGGAATAAACAACTCTAAGGATTCAGGAAGTCCCTGATCTGACACTAGGCCTCTCCCTTCCCAAGCATATATAAGTTGTAAAGACTATTGAGAAACCTTCTTAGATTAGTCAAGCCACTTAATAGAGAGAGTCACACACAGACACACAGACAGAGAACTGGGCTGCCTAGCCAAGTTACCTGGAAGAAGCAGACTTTGCTGAACCACCTCAAAGATACTCAGAGAAACTGAGCCATCTGGAACATACTCTCCAATCTCCTGAACTACAGCAGGTTGTGCAGCGCACTCTGGGTTTTCAGCTTTTATGAGCTATTGCCTATGTGGATTGACTTTTGGAGACACAGTTGTTGTTACTCCTCTAAGTGACCTCGTATCCCAGTTCCTGTAAGTAACCCCAATAAAATTCACTGGTTCACCAAGTTGGATTCTGGTGGTATCCTTAGTCTATCATCAGTTCCCTACCTGGTAGCATTTCCCAAGGAATTGTGTCATACAACAGTATGACGATTCTCACAAGGCTAAGTTGTTGGTTCCTCCTAGGAAATCAGATACCTGTGCAAGGTGATTTTATCCTTTCATGACACATAAATAATCCACTGTGAGCTTTCTTTGGGTTCTGGCTTTGATGTTGCTGAGCAGCCTGTAGTACAGCCATAGAGAATATAGTAGCTCACTTTCCTTGCCATTCACGGTCCTTTCGGAACTGAAGAATACTGAATATGGAAAAAAGAGGCTATGCAATGTACTTTCAACAGACTGACAGATTTAATCTGTCACTTAGACTGTTTAATCTTTTGTATGACACATAACAAAAAAAGCTGCCAGATGTGGCCCAAGGCCCACAGTCTCAGGACTGGTGCAGTGACTCTGCAGAAACATTTTTGCAACAAGCATGTCTTCTCTCTCCCCTAGCTAGGGATTATCTGATCACACTGAGCAAAGTTATTTCAGCTTTTCATGCCATTTATATTCACAACCTCTTTTATAGCAGCCGCACACAAGTTATGATATGGCTGGTTGCAATGTTCTTCTACTTATTCTATAGGATGGGTTTGGTGATGAAGGAGAATTGATTTGTATTTTTTAACCCAATGAGAGCGCAGAAATATGAAAATGAGTGATAGGTAAGCAATACTGAATGGACACAAAGTGCCTAAGGGGACCATAATGAATGTATTAGAGAATCAGGAACGGAGCAATTCCCCTAAGAAAACACATATAAACATACAGCATATTTAATGTTCTAAGGATGATTCACAGTTAATTCTGGAAAATATTTTACAGGACTTTTGGAAATATTTTATAGGAAATTGTTAGACCCTAGTACAGGTGTTTACCTCAACTACTAAGTCATTAAATTTGTCTACTCAGTAATTAAAATATTTAAAACACTAAGATTAGAAAATAGCAGTTCAAGAATCATTATTTTATGCAATGTCTTCTAAAATACCTCATATTACATGCCCCATCTTCATGTCTTTTAAAGACAGTGTCTCACTATGCAGCCCTGGCTGGCCTTAAACTTATAGAACATCTTTGCTTCTGTGTAAGATAAATCAAACATCCAGAGTTCTTTTGTGAACATCAAAATTGCCCTCACACTTGTGTTGGTAGGAAAGTCTTTCTAAGAACAAAAGAAAAAAAATTATTCTAGAACTTCAATTTGTTAGCTCTATTGTTTTGGTTTTGTTTGTTTTTCGAGACAGGATTTCTCTGTGTAGGTTTGGAGCTGTCTTGGAACCCACTCAGTAGATCAGGCTGGTCTTGACCTCACAGAGATCCACTTGTCTCTGCCCCCCAAAGTGCTGAGATTAAAGGCATGCACTACTACCTCCTTGCGTGTCAATTCTATTTTTGAATAATTTTACTTAAAATCTCCAATGATAAGAATAAGTTACACAGAGAAGAAGTTCATTATTTCATGTATAATGGAGAAATGTTAAAATATAAATGATATATACTCAATAAGAATAATTCATAGCCCCATACATGCTATATAAACATTGTTATAATTTTGAATAGAAAGCAACAACAGGGAACTATGTCTATGATGCACTAAGTGAAAAGCCAATAAAAACTGTTCATATACTACAACAACTTAAAAATAAACCAGGAAGTTGGCTGTGAAACAGTCTCTCCTAGAAATGGCACCATAAGCAAGACTGTAACATTGACACAATCAACAGACATGCTAATTAAAGAGAGGGTGACTCTCATGGGGTCCCATACCTAGACAATTCCAGGCAATTAATAACTGCTGAGAGAGGGAGAACTAGCCTCTTCCAGAGATAATTTGTCTAACTAGCTATCTCATACAAAGTAGCCCTAAAACTACACACACACACACATGAAAAAGAGGCTATCAATTTGAGGAAGGTATATGGAAGGAGTTGGAGAATGAGGACTTGGAGGAAGAAAAGGGAGAAAGTGATGTAATTATATTTTAATTAAAGTAAAAATAACTAATTTGATGAAGGAGGGTCAGGGAGGATCATGAATTTAGGACCACTCTAAGTTATATAGCCAGTTCCAGAGCAGCCTGGGCTATATAACAAGTTTCTATAACAAAGGAAAGCCCCTAAATCCTGCTGGGTAGCCTTCAATGTGCCAGAAGCTGCTATGCATATAGCTGGGGGATAAAATCCACCTACAGTCTTCCTTAGACTTTGCACTATATGATACCAACTTGCTAGGCAAGAGGTACTTACTGGTACAATAGTATTGTGACTGCTAAGGGGACAACTATTTCTGATGAATCTGAGGCCCCTTCCATAGAAGATTCTGGTGCTGTAGACCCCATAGAGGCCTAAAACTGGAGAGGTCACTGGCATAAAGCCTACTACTATTGCTTAGTTAAATGGACATGTTATCACACTGCCTCCTAAATATTTATGTATATACCCATAAACCAGTAGTGCCCTTAACCTTGATCAAAGAGGCAAATGACTTATGGCTCTCATGCACTCTGGAACTGCTGGAGTTAAAAGGAAAGACAGCTAAGTTCTGATCATGGATTAGTTACTGTAGACACATTTCTCAAGCGTTTATAAAAATCACTGCAGAGTATTACTATCCCCATTTCATTAAGAATTAAAATGCAGGAAAGTTAAAAATCCTGTCCAGTGTCTCACAATTTCTAAATGCTGGAGCTAGAACCTGGCTCTAACACAAACTCTCTGCTCTTGTATTCACACTGTGGTTAATGGTTTAAGTTTATAAAATGACTCTTTAATTCAAATAAGAACTACTACTGAACCCAAATGCTCACCTCTCGTAAGACTGACTTAAAATGTGATCTCCCTGTCTTCTGAGAGCATGGTTTTCCAGAAGGCCCATAACGCGTCTGAGTCCTCTTGCTTATGACATCAGCTTTCAGCTTTGGTGGCTCTCCTTCCATTACAAACACCAGTTTTACATTCATTTGAATTAAGTACGAAATACGAAAAAATAGGTTCCTGAAATATACAAATGAGTAATGTATAAATTGTCATGTTAATAACAAGTTCAAATAGCAGTATGAAAAGGTTTAAGAACCTAGGTTAATACAAAAAATGTTACATGCAATAACATTTTTTAAACATTTAAGTGTGTGTATATACATATGTGTCTGAGCAGTGTATTTGTGTGGGCACATGCATGCCACTGTACTTGTATGGAGGTCAAAGCACACCTTGCAGTAATTGGTTCTACTGCTCTTCCATGTGGGTTCTAAGGCTCATGCTCAGGCTGTCAGGTCTGGTGGCAAGTGCATTTACCTACTGAACCAGCTCACTGGCCTGTATTTTATTTATTAAGATCTTATTTTAAGGAGAATGGGCAAATACTTGACATTTTTAAGCAAGGGTGATTTCTTTTTTCTTTCTTTCTTCTTCTTCTTCTTTTTTTTTTTTTTTTTTTTTTTTTTTTGGTTTTTCGAGACAGGATTTCTCTGTATTGCTTTGGAGCCTATCCTGGCACTTGCTCTGTAGATCAGGCTGGCTTCAAACTCACAGAGATCCACCTGCCTCTGCCTCCCCAATGCTGGGATTAAAGGTGTGTGCCACCGACACCCAGAGTGCAAGGGTGATTTTTGACTATACATACTGCCAGCTGATTTGGAGAGAGAGGCTAAGAGCAGGTGGAGGGAATGCAAATGCCTCTCCAGCAGCAGATATGGGTAAGACATGAAGTTAGCACAGTCTGGTGGTTTCTAGACATGGAGAGAAACTTGTGAACACAGACAGGTATTTTGGAAACTGAATGGGTAAGAATTACCGATGGGCTGGAGATGAGAAATAAAAGATGAAGATAATGGCCACTCAGCTTCTGGCTTATAGTAACTGAAACATGATAGTGCAGATAGATATATGTGAGCTTGAAGCTAGGAGTAGGAGAAACATATTTAAGTCACTGGTATAAAAACGGCAGATCGAGATATGTTAAATTTATTTTAAAATCTCAAATATATGACAATTAAAAAAAAGTTGAAATAAAGACTGGCTATACAATCATGCCATCTGTATTCTTAGAGCCTTTACTATACCTGAGGTGGGGTTTCACGACAGTTCCAATCATTTTCTTCACTGTCTGTGCCTCACATACCCAGAGGCTCAAATCAACAGCAATAGTTTTCCCACTAAGATTCTGCAGGTGGATATGTTGTTTTACAGGCTCCAAAATTTGCCACAAGTCATTCACTCCCATCCTGGTGATTATCTGCTGTTATCTGAGGTACACTTAAGCAAGGAACATAGAAGCAGGCAAATGGCTAAAGAAACAAAACAAAAACAATCCCCAATCCAAGGTTAGTTCATAAAAACTCTGATGGAAAATTAAGGAGGGGAGAAATGAAGTAGGTAATACTGGAGCAATATGGAGTTATACTATTATAAAAGGTATTGTTTTAATTGTATGGCCACATAAGTTCATTGCGGGGAAACTGAAATTTAATGCAATATACTTTAAGTCACCGGTGGTTGTACTGTTCAAAGGAATTAATGTTTCCTTCCTTATATGGTACAGGACATAGGAACAAACCATTTTGAACTCCACTGTCCTGTCTGTGTATTTTGTTGGCTTTTCTTTATTAAACACCCACACTTGTTCTTATTTCCCTTTGTTTTTAACTTATAACGATATGTTTACAATGAATATTAAATCTGACTACATAAATTCTACCCAGATTATTATCCTTAATGCAGCCTAAAAACCCAAAGCAAAAGCCATTATTTATATGTAGAAACCTTCTCAATAAAAATTAGTCTTTTCTTCCAAAAGCCTACTCTATCACATTGCACACAGATGCAAAGAAAACCATTGCTTGAAAGGCTGTTGTAGATATTTTTCTCAGTTTTCTGAATCTTGATTTTATAATGTGGCCAGGCTTGCCACGAGTGTTGTTTTATGTACTCATTTTTGTGAAGTGCACATATACACCTGGTTATATTACTTTACAAAGAAAAACAGTAAACACAAAGCATTAAGTAGTTAATAGTAGGCCAGTGCTAATTTTACTCTACCTCAACATATTCTGCTGGCTATAACACCGTGGCAATAAATTGAGTTTATGTGAGAAGTTGTAGCTAATTCTGGAAAGAGTAGGAGCATGTGTATTTCTTAATACATTATTATGAAGGTAAATGAGATTTGTAAAGTATTAGCCATTAAAAGACATTAACGCCAGATAATAATTTGAGAGTAAAATTCCCTATAGTTTTGCTTTTATTTGTGACTCACACTTGATACATGAAAAGACTCATTTTAAAAGGTGGAATTAATTGTGTTTGATTTTAAATATACATATGAATTATATTTAAAAAAATAAAAGGAGGAATTAAAAAAACAAAACAAAAAAACAACCAAGGTGTCTTAAATAGTGGTAAGGAACCATTTTGGGCTACTTAAAATTATATATGTAATGTAATGCAATGCATATGTTTACATATATATGTATTAATTGAAGTCACACAAATTGGGGTGAGTGTCCCTTTATAAAACAGGCTCACAAAAATCCTAATGCTAGGCCTTATTGGTCAGGAGAATCCAAGAGGTCCCCAAAACAATATAGTGCCTCTTAGAAACTTATATAGAATTTCTATTAGAGCTTCTTCAATTTCCTAAAAAGCCATCAAGCATTTACTAGATAAAACAAAACAAATAAACAAAACTACAAAAGGTATAGGTTAGAACTACACTAAGGGATAATATTAAAAGAACTAGAGGTAGCCACAAGAATTAGAACTTTTATGTGCTAGCCTGGCCTCTAAACTTATTAATCCTTTCATTAACTATAGTCTCTGAAGTGACAAACTCCAACTCAGCCTACTTATTTCCTTCTTGCAGGTTTCAGGATATCCCGTCTTCTCTGTTTTTGAGACAGGATCTCGATGGATAGAATGGTGTGTTCTCATCTCATTGCCCATGTACTGGAATTGTTTGGTTTTTAACTAACTTTTTAATCCCCATCACCTTTCCTTACAAAACTGTTTCTGTCTTAGTATTTCCCAAGTATGCTTGCTTAAGCTTTGTTCCCAACAGCCAAATGGGCAGTACATTCTGTTGTCTACAAAATGCATTCTTAATCCCCCATTTCTAACACTTCACTAATTCTGCTACATACAGTTTTAAGTCTGTAATAAGAGTCCCAGCTTCGTTTTACTTCTTCCCATTTGTGTACAATTTTTCTCTCCATAAAAGCCTGAGTAATGTTTAAAAAATCATTAAAATACTGTTTTTACCCATTTATGGTGGCTATTTTATAAGGATATATAAACATTAAGTTTTTAGAAAATTATGTACTGAAAGTGTAACATATATATATATATATATAATTACATGTTTATATAACACACACACACACACACACACACACACACACACACACATACACACACACACAATTTGACACAGGGTCTCACTATATGGTTCTAGCTGTCTTGAACTCACTATGTTGACCAGGCTGGCCTTGAACTCAGAGATCTGCTTGCCTCTGCCTACAGAGTGCTGGGATTAAAGGCATGTTCATGTCTGCCCATTTAAAAAAATATTATTTTAGGACTTTTTCCAATTCTACAATCTAAGTTTAAAAAATCCATGTTGTCTATGAAGAACACCCATTACAGTGTATTAAAAAATATATACAACCTGTTTTAAAAATGCAGTTAATCTAAAATCTTTAAATTAAGCCACCATTCACTGCTATTGCTATTTCTCTCTAAGTGCTCTTAGTACCAGTCATTTCTCTGCAGTAATATTGCATAGCAATAGTTAAAGATTTTAAAAGCTTGTGAGACTCCAAGAGGAGACCAAATGGAACAGTGCTTAAGATGTATAACTGCACTCAGACAGTAGACAGTTCTTGATTAGGCCATATTCCATTCCATACTTGAAGAAAGATTAGTATTAAGTAAAACTTAGAAATACTACAGCTATTAAATTCCCCAAAACTATGTAAATTGGTGAGTTTCTATTCAAGCCTCTTATAACTACTACTATCACTCTGATGATGCAGTCAGCATAAATGTATCTCCTAAGATATTTCTAATTTTTAAGAATTAGTTGTGTAAAAGAAAGGAGTCAACAAAGTTGTAATATGCAGCAAATAGTTTTATAATTTATGAATACCTTCAATGTATCTCAATTGGTGATTGGTGAAAAGAGCACTGAGTTTGGAGTTCATACTCTGAGGACTTGGGTTTTGGATATAATACTGATCAACCTTAGAGACTAAGAGCCTTTCTAGGAAAGGAGGCATATTAAATCAGATATATGATGAGATTATAACATCCTTTGACTCCCAAGATCAGTTTAGGTAGCAGGAATACCCGGATTATGGCTTGATAGAAGGTATGTTTCCACATTAACAAAGGGTCAAAGAACCTACTTCAAGTTAAAACAAAAACAGATCCTTTGAAGTAACCATATGGCGCCCATAAATCCATTTATGCTCCTAAAGCTTCCTTAAAAGCTATTAAGTTTCTATTGGTTAATTATAAAACTGAACGAGGTGAGAAAAGCACAGACCCTTGCTAATTCCACTAATGAATCAAATGTAAAGAACATAAGAAAGGAGTCAATAGCTTGATTTATGCAAAAACACATTTTATTAAGGTAAATTTTTCTGCTCTGTCAAAGTTTAACTAAGGGACAGGAAATAGTTAAATTTCCAAATTCGCATTAGTCAACTATATTTTCACATTATAAAATTCCATAGTGTAGGACTGTAACTGTATGGGATTTACCACTTAATTTCACCAAGTCATGCTGTTTTAAATTTCTTCCAGTTATTTTGTCATATTAATTTAATTTCAACTTTGAGGCTCATATTAAATTTACCTATCAGTATTTATTAGGAATGTGCCTAAATAGGAGATAAAGTAACGATCAGGTTCCGGAGTTAAATATCTTGGCAGAGTGAAGCTAAGGAGGGGCAAATCAGCCTTTTAATAGGATGACAGTACTGCCAGAGGCTGTGTTTGCCGTTAGTTACCAGGATGGTTCCGTCCCATGTTTAGTCTACTTTGACTATGTCATACTTTTCAGTAATCCACGATAAAGGACAAAATATATTACTTTTTGAAGTGAATGGTGGCTTTGAATGAGGGAACTGACTTCAGTACCGGAGACGTACCTAAGGTTGTACACCGAGGCTGGGGTAATGGTGAATGCTACTTCCCCCGACATAGGAGGGAAAGCTCAAACAGTGAGGCTGCTCGGGTAGGTAGGCAAATGGATGAGGGTGTGTAAAGACGGAATGAATGGCTAGCATCGAGTCAGGAAGCGAATGGAGAAGGCCCAAGAACAACTTTAACTGCTATTTATTTAAAGCGACGGCCACCCGAGGGTGGAGCGGGTAGGGGAGAAAGGACCACACACCATCCCAGAGGCACGCCTAAGTGGTGACAGCTGTAAGAAAACTGTTTCCCCAGTTGCCACCATAACGCAGAGCGGCGCGTGTGGGTGGGCATCGAGGAAGGTCACCCAGATAGCGCGGGAGTGTCCTCAGGGATGGGGCGTGGGGTCCCCGCAGGGCGGCTGTGGGGGGGCTCGCCCTCCCGCCTCTGTTCTAGAAGCCTGTGCAAGCACGGGCCGCCGGCCCCAGCCTGTTCCGCGGAACTTACCCAGACAGCCCCTCCTCGCGGCTGTGGAAGGAACACGTCTGTCATCTACCAGTCTGGCCTGGAGTCTAATAACTATCGCCTCCCTCAAGTTCCCGATCCCCTCAAACCAAAGTTAAAACGAATACAAAACAAAATAAAACAAAAAGCCCTTCCCAAACTACCTTCTCAAGCACTA